CATCCATTCATCATCCATCCATTCATCATCCATCCATCCATCCATCATCCATTCATCCATCCATCTATCCATCCATCATCCATTCATCATCCATCCATCCATCCATCATCCATCCATCCATCCATTTGTCTATCCGACATCTACCCACCATCCATCCATCATCCATCCATCCATTCATCCATCATCCATCCATCATCATCCATTCGACCATCCATCCATCCAACTATCCATCCATCACCCATCATCCATCCGACCATCCATCATCCATCATCCATCCATCCATCCATCCAATATCAGGAATTCTCGCAGAATATCCAAAGTCAGACCAAATAAACTAAGATTTAAGACTAGCCTAACGTAAAGACTGACGGTGACGTTACCTTTTCTCAGGTTTGGTAACAGTTGGTAGTTTGTCGTCGGTGAAGACAGAGTTCAGGGCTCGGTGTAATCTCTGGAAAAAACAAACAAAAACAAAAACCCACGTCGATGAAGGGGATGCCGTGACCTCTTGACCTGAAACTTTTCAAAGTGACGCTGCGTCACCTGACTGGTGTGGAGCCAGTATTTGAAGCGCGGCTCCTTCACGCGGGGGATGACCAGCTTGTACACGATGTGTTCCGCCATGGTGGTCAGCAGAGACAAGGCCACGCCCACACACAGCATCACAAACAGACCGGAGAAATGTTTGATCCCCATCTGGAGAGTCTGGAGAGAAACAGGGACACACGGGGGAGTCGGGGGGGGGGAGACGGGTGAGAACGAGAGGTCTTCAGAGACTGAAACTGACATGTTTTTTATGTTTCTTTAGTAAAAAAAAAACAAACAGTTTTTTTGAACAGAGTCTGATGAAACTTTAGAAAAACAAGTCTAAAAATAAAATAAAAAACAATCTTCAGATGCTAGTTTAGCCGCTAACAGTGTTTATGACGAAACAATAGATGAAAGTGAAATACACGCTTTTTCTTATTAGTTATTAAAGAGATCAAACAACGAAGCACGGACAACAGGAAGTGAGCGAAAGCTTAGATCAAAAATTCAAATCTGATCTGAGAGTTTGGAAAATCAATGATTTTCTGTAGAGATTTACAAAATGGGTAGAAAACAGTAGGAAAATTACTGTGAAAGTGGTTGAAATATGTTCAGAAAACTAAATGCTCACAAGAAAACTACACATATATATATATAAAACATCAAGTATATAAAAAAAACCTCTGGGCCCTATAAAACAAATTTATGGACCACTTTTGGCCCGAGAGCCAGCCTTTTGGCCAACCTGTAACTAGTCTCGTTCTTTCCTCGTCTGTCTGTGTTGGATATTTAAGATTCTATCATTTATTCACTGCTGCGACGTTAACACCTCTCGCAGTATGGCAGTGTTTACTGCAGTCTGTACTGCAGTCTGTACTGCGTACAGTACTGCGTCTGTGGCCACAGATTTAGAGTCACCATTAAACACAGACCCCATTAAAATAAAAGCAGCGTCAGATAAAACCCAGCGCTGACTAATGTACTACATCATATTACTGCGTCCGTTACTTCAATCAGAGAAACTGCGATGATCGTCACCGTCATCTCGACGAATCCTGCCCCCTAATGTCTCATTATGGGAAGTGACACTGAGTTTCATCTCATTTTTTTCTCTTCCTCCTTCAAACCTAATTTACACTTGTTCTGCTCCGAGAGTGAAATCAAAAACCTCTGTGTTTGGATTGTGTTTTTATGATCGGAGATCGTCCGTCGTCACGTCCAACACCGCAGTTTCCCTAACTGACCACTTGTTGCTGTTTCTGCAGATGAACGCTCCAATGAAGTGATTATTTCTGTACACTGCAGGGGGAGTCAGGCAGCAGCAGCAGCAGCAGCAGCAGCAGCAGTGATTGCATTTTGAATTTGGATGCTGGAATGGGAAACGTGATGGATTTTAATTCGTGGTCGCGGTGTCGCGGCTGTAATGGAATTCTGCGCGGCGGTGGAGACGGAGGACGAGGACGACCGTTTTTTACTCCTCAGACACGGAGGGAGAACACGTTCAGACTCCACCAAACACCTGTGATATCGTTCACCTCCGCGTCACATAAATGACTCCACCAATCACAGCTGCCCATGTCAGCTCTGCTCCCCCTAATGTTAGCTAATGGAATAACGTGTCAGTTATGGATATTGATTTTTATTTCTTGAAATGAGATCAAGTTTTTTTTTTTTTGTTTTCTTTTTTTTTGTGGAGCTGGATGAAGGCCAGCTGTGAGTCTGCGTCCTGTTGTTGCTGCTGCTGCTGTTCGGAATAAAAGAGTAGAAGAAGAAGTGCTGAGGCGGTGGAGTCTGAGGCACTGATTCATTCACTGGATTTTATTATTGGAGTTTCACCTCTGAGCTCCAGCAGCTTTTATTCTAACAGCACTGTGTCGTTAAACCTGTTAGCTATTAGCTCTGCTAGGACATTGTTGTTGCTCTCTGTTCTTTTTTTTAGCTAGGCTATCTCACCTGTTTAATGTATTTAAGGCCTTTGCAGGCTAACGTTAAGTAAAGTTTATCGATTAATCGTGATTCATCCACAGACACCCTGTTCAATCGGATAGCCCCTGTAGGCTACAAAAACAGATTAGCTAAAGAGTACAAAGAAATAAAGTCGATGTCTTCAAACAAAATTGCCGACTAAGACAACTAAAAACGTGTCTAGAAAACTTTGACAAAGTTGCCGGGAGAAAAAAGAGTTGAAAGTCGTATAAATTAACAAAAGTCATCAGAGAAAAACACAGAGCAACAGATGCCGCAGGAAAACGATAGCAGGGCCTAAAACCGTGTGAAGGACAAAACTGGCCCCAGAGCCGCGGGTTCGTCCTTGTCTGACTTGATGCAGAATAAAATTTTAATCTCCTGATGTCATTAATCAAGAACAGCTTCAGTTTCTGACACTGAAACATTTGACGACCATTTTCCTTCATCTGTCTTAAGACCTGGAGCTTCATTAGCTTCATTAGCTTCATTAGCTGCTTCATTAGAAAACTTTCTGGGCCACTTTCACGTACACACTGCAGGTGGCGCTGTTCTTACCTCCGTCACGGCGAAGCTGCGTTTCCCACAGGGCACCACCTTGTACCATTTGTCGTGCAGCATGTCCATGAAGCCGTCCGACTTGTACTGACTCACCAGCTCCGAGATGTTGGAGGTGAGCGCCGAGTTTTGGGGGAGGCCGATGCCGTAGCCTGTCAGAAAAAGTGGACAGAAAAAAAAACACCACCTTCAGTTCAGAACGTTCAGCGGTTTTTGAGGAACGAGAAAATCCTCCTCTCACCGAGACACGTTTGTCAGTTTTGCAATTTCTTCCCTGGAACCGAAACAAGACGTCAAGACTTCACAGCTTAGTGACTGATCTGAAACGAGTCCCAGTGGCCTGAAGGTAGATGTAGTAATTAAGAGCAGTGCTCCATCTTGTGGCTGTATTGGCCGGTAATGGAAGTAACCGCCACGGGAAAAAAAACGTTTCATAAATGACTTCAGGAGAAAAACAAGGAGAGAGAAGTCGGACGACGAAGGTTGACGATGATAAACGAATCGCTGCTCAAAATCACGGGGGTCCACGACGGAACACATTAGCGGAGGCTAAAGATAACGTGGGTTTCCCGCCATCGTGGGTTCCTACAGCGTCTACAGCTGGATGGATGTCCAGGGTTGAGCTCAACGTAAAAAAACACACCTGAACAATATCCCAGAGTTAAAGTCAAATTCATGAAAAACACACCTGAATATCCCAGAGTTAAAGTCAAATTCATTTTGAAATAATTTGCTCCTGAAAGTTGGTCTAGAAAGCTGGAAATTAGCTTAATGCTAACTAGGAGTTTGCCCCTAAATAACCAATAGATGGCAAAAATAGCTGCATGTTAACATGCTAATTAAAAAGATCCAGATTAATTAAAATTAGAGCAACAAAAAAGTTAGTAAAAAAGTTTGATGTAGAGAAATAACTAAAAGTTCGGCCAAAAATGATGCAGAGAAATAACTAAAGGTTCGGCCAAAAAAAACGTCGACCTGAACTGAATTAAACTACAAACAGTTAAAATGATCATAATAAACATAAATCTATGTTAGCCTCTTAGCCACAAAGTTACAAATGTTTATACAATTTGTAACTATTTGTAACTAAATTTTATACTAAAAATAGCTTCAAACAACCAGATAAAACATAAAAATAGCTTCAAACAACCAGATAAATGTCGTAAAGACCGATGATACGTAGCAGCGAGGTTACCTTCGATTGCGAAGGGTTTCCCGACAGTCAGGGTTTTACAGTCTGCGTCGATGGAGACTTCGTAGTCCAGCAGAGCCTTGTCCATGATGAAGGCGTCCAGTCTCTGAGGGTCAGCCCTGGAACAGAGAACCAGGACGCAGACAGATTCTGAGGACGGTGCTGCTGGACACAGTTAGGTCAATATTACAACAGCAATTCATTAGAACCAACGCCACCATGTGGACTCATCAAGGAAGGACGTTTTTACCGGTGGAATCTCGCTTCATCCGAACGCTCATTTGGTTTTAAGAAATTAGATCCAATCACAGAGTTTAGAGTTGAGAGGACAGTTGGTGGACACGGTGGTGTCATCTGCATACAAACTCAGGTAACTTAGTTAACTTAAGACGTTTGAGAGGAATCTACTGAACGTTTTTGACATTAATTCTAGAAAACTGTGAAAGAGACGTGACCAGGTACGAACCGACAGAAATGAAATGAGGGCGTGGTCAGAGGTCGTGGGTCACGGCTTCTGTCGGATGTCTGATCTGTGTAGAATTAAAGTCTGACATTGTGTTAATGAAGTACTCCTACTCCAGTATTCCTTAATATTTCTTGTATTCAATAGTATTCATTAAAAAAAAAACATCTCCTGAAACTCTCCTCCGATGTTACGTCGCTGCAGTGTCAGTGTTTGACCACAGAGCACTAACGAAAGAAAAAAAACATCAGGTCTTCTGGGAGTAAACCACAGACACTTCCTCCTGCCTTTTATAATAAGCCGTTAAAATTTCCATTAAAGAAATGAACCTTAAACAACCCTCGAGACGTGAAGTTAAAAAAACCAAAACCCCGTCCTAATCCCGCTGCGCTCCCGTCCTCACGTCACTCCCGTTCTAACGCAGACTTTGTTTTGGCTTTTAACACAGAGATAATGGGCCGGAGTCAGGATTTATGACCTGGAACCGCGAGCACGTTCTGAATTCTGAGGAGAAACTCTCCGACTTCTCTCCAGTCCTGTCACATATCCCTGTCCAACCACTTCCTGTTTGTCAGCGTTTTATCACTGATCGCAGCAGAAAGGCAGTGCGACCAAGTGGAAATGTATTACCTGCAGTACTTGACTCCAGGTACATGAAGTAGTATCAGTACGTGTCGTCGTACTGTTTATCACTGTTGAACTAATTAATCACAATTAGGGACGTCCGATAACATCGGCCAACCGATATTAGCATAATTATGTAATATCGTGATGGGTTTATTCCTCCGATAATGAAAAACCCGTTGACGCGATGCCTTCGTTTCGCCCAGACCATGTGACCTAAAATAGTTTTGAAGTGAAAGTGAATTATTGTTTTTGTGACGGCTGCAAACATCAGAGATCGGAATCAGAAATGAAGTGTTATCGCACTAATATCGGCGTATCAGATATCCGTCATCGCTAATGAAAAATCGACAGGACTGGCAAAAGCAAAAAATAAATAAATAAATCATCTGGTTGGGTTCATGTCTGGACTCTTTGTTGTGTCACCACCTGGAACTTTGACTCGTTTCAGTCGGTGACAAACTATAAGGATTTATTCCCTCAAAGCATCGTATAAGAATTCTAATGTTTTAATTTGCATGCTAATAGAATTCAAGAGTAAAAAATACCCGTCCTGTAGTAGCTTTAAAATTGCTTTCTTTTCTTTCTTTCTTTTTTTTTTACATTTTCTCTGCCAACCTTGTGTGGGCTCAACGTGAGGAGTTCCAACAAAAAGCCTTTTTTCTGGGACTGCAGACGCCCAGTGCGATTCAAAGGCTACAAAAATATTATTTTCTAGCATTATCATATCATTGTGCTGCGTTCTGCGCTGATCAAGGACACCGCCGTAAATTCTCCACCTCCTTCTGCCTTTTTATGATTTCAGCTGGAATTAGCTTTCAGCATATGCCCTTGGACTTTTCTCTGCACTAAATATTTGATGGTGTGAATCATCCTGACACCGGGCCGTTCATTAGCCCGTGTGATCACCAACCTTTGGCTTTCCGACATCATAATCCTCCAGGATTTAAAAGGTAGGATTTAGGATTTAAAAACAGGTAATGGCATAATAACAACACGGGTTGATCGGGACGATGACCGAGGAATAATACTGCAGTACTGAGTTCATACTAAGGTACTACAGGTCAGATACTTCCTCTGTCAATCTCCTTAAAGTCCATGAACCTGAACTTAGGGACAGGGAGTTACAGTAGGTTTGGAGGTCAAACGTTGGGTGTCATCTGCATAGAGGTGAAGTCTGGAGGTGTATCAAAAAAAAAAAATTAGAAACTCTTTAGGAACTTTAATTATTTCTAGTAGCTGTAGCTCCTGTTAGCATACATTCTGTTAGCATACGTTCATCTTTTTCATGTCATTCTCAAATCAGCTGATTAGCTACATGTGACCCTGCAGGTCGCGAACTAACAAATGCCGGTCATCCCTCCCCCGCCCCCCGTTGGTAGACATTCAGTGTCGGAAACTGTGCTTGAAATTTTGTTCATTTTCACGATATCATCATCCGACCTAAACTCTCCAATTATCACTCGACAGTGTCATGTTTTTGTGAGCCGTCGCTCCAACTCACTGCCTTCAAGCACAGTATTGGAGCTCTGCTCCACGGGGGGACGCCAGGAGAATATTGAGGCAGCTCAGGCTGACAGCAATGGCAGGGTGAGACGACGGGGGAGGAGGGGGAGGATGGGGGGGACAGCAGCAGCGTTGTGTTTTTTAAAGGGACTTGTTTTTCGGATTCCAACTTTTAACGTATAATAAGGTAAAAAGAATAGGAGATGACGAGAGATGATACAATTTCTGTCAAAGACACAGTTATTTTTCTGGGACGTTTGTTCAACCAGAGAGTTGAATTTTAAGGGAATGATGACAGCGAGAGATAACTGTTTCAGCGATTCCTACAGTTTTTGATTTTATCTTGGCTGGAGCTGCCAGAGCGCTGAGCGAATCGATGCTCTGCGTTCAGCTTCACCAATGAGAGAGATCTCTAGTTCTGTAAAATGATAAGGTGGTAGAATGAAAGTAGACGAAAGATCGTTGATGAACAAGTTCTAATGAATAATGTGAAGATTACTGAAGGTTTATATGAATATTCCAATATTTATTTGTATAGAATATTTGAAACGGCCTCTTGTTAAATAAATGTTTCTCCAGTTTTGTTTTGTTTGTTAGCGGTACAGTTAGCTGTACGGTTAGCGGTACAGTTAGCGGTACAGTTAGCAGTACCGTTAGCGCTACAGTTAGCGGTACGGTGGTTAGCGTTTACACAGCAGTGTGTATGGAAACATTCCTACTTCAGGTGATGTATTCCGTCCGGCGTTGCTGGGACGTTGTATCTCCTCATGTACTCGTGCATCTCGGGGAAACTGTTCTTGACGTAGTCCTCGGAGCTGCTTTCTCTCACGGTGGCAAAACGGAATCCCTGAGAGGGATGATGTAACTGTGGGGTCGACAGAAAGATCGGAATCTGAGAATCTGAGAATCGTGTTCTACAATGTTTAAATATCTTTATAAATACTTTTACATTTTTAAAAGGTAGATACTCAAGAATTACAAGTTCAAGTTCAACAAGTCCACGTAAAAACTCCTGGTATCTACCAGGTGCCTGGTCTACAGTGTCTGTTGTGCTCGTTAAAAGACCATTAGTCCATAAATATTAACGACATTTTTTTACACTACATTTACAACGTGTTTAATCTATTTCTTGCTGAGTCAGAGGTTCGTCGGTCAGTGTTCATTGTTGCATGTCTTACTTTTAAACTGTGAAATTGACTTCTTTGGATCCACGCCTGATACGATACAATTAGGAAAAAGACTCTGACGCTGAAGTGGTGGACAAACCTTTGGGTCGTGGATCCCTGATAGCTGTTCGTAGGTCTTCTCCCCGACCATGACGGCAGCTAGGTTAGCGGTGTAGGTGGACAAACAGAAGAGACAGAAGATCGCCCACAGGTTCATCAGCAGACGACCCGTCCAGCACTTCGGAGTCTTGATGGCCACCGTTCTCCCAAAAAGAATAGCGTAGCAGACGTTGAGGGCCGAGGAGAAGGAGAAGACTTTGTCCCGATTGCGTCCTCTGGGAGTCATTCCAAATGGGCTGTGCCATTCGTACAGGGTGAGAAAGATGGCGGTGACGTGAAGGGAGACGAAGATGCCCAGCCACATGGACCAGTGGAGAGGCCACATGAAGGCGCCGATGGGCGCAGCGGTGTCGCGAGTCCGAACCTGGACAGAGGAGGAAGACGTTCAGACAATGTCAACGCTAGAGCATCGGTTTGACTTGAGCTTCACTGATGGAGGTGGTGACTTATTCACAGTCGGAGACACCGATCGTTCTCCACCGGTGGGTCACGCTAGTTAGTTAGTTAGTTAGTTAGTTAGTTAGTTAGTTAGTGAGTGATAAACCTGGGTCACAGCTGGAGAACATGGACACCTGCTGTGGTTCCTGTTCCAAGAAAAGGCCAATTCAACCAAACTGTCGTTCGAGTGGACAGAGAAGGACCGACCTCAGAGCAGACGACGAAGCAACGTACGTAAAACAAAAACTAGTTAAGTTAAGAGTACCAGGTACTCACCAGGATCCCCAGGCTGGTGGAGAAGAACGGGGAGGTGAAGTCGATCACTTGACTTCGGGCCGAATTGATACTGAAAGAAGTCACTGCTAAGTTGGCCGCTCCGCTCAACAGGTCGCCCACCAATCCTGTCCAGCGACCGTTCTTAAACCCCCCGTACTTTCCGTCACCAACGATGTAGAGGTCAAAGGTGAAGCCCATGTCCTCGGCCAGCTTCTCCAGGAGGTCGATGCAGTATCCGTAGCAGCACTTCTTCAGCTCTGTGGGAACAGAACCATTAGGTCCAGCAAGGTTTTGAAAAAGTCCGTCCAAAACTGTGGTTTCATTAGTGAGGGGGTCGAGACAGAGCTGACCAGCGGGACACAGTCCGTCTCCGTCCACCTCTCGGGTGAACACAAACGGGTGCTCCACCAGCGTGACCACCCGTAAGTGCAGTCTTGTGGACCGGCGCCAGTCGCCTCCGCTCCCAGAACCAGAATAATTTGGCCACGCCCCCTGGTCCATCAGGATTTTCCCCCTGCGCCAGCGTCCCAGGCGAGTCCAGGTCGGCTGTCCCAGGGGGTCCAGCTGTAGGGACCAGATGTAATGATGGGCCTCTGAGACGATGTTCTGGCTCCGGGCCCCGAGGGACACGAAGCCGCTGTGGCCCTCGAAGGACGAGTTGGACAGAAACCTGAGGAAGTCAATCACAGGAGAGAGAGAGGTTAAGACGGACGACAGGACAAGTTTGTTACAGATAAATCGATTTGGTTTCAGAGTTTGTTGTTACAGATAAATCGATTTGGTTTCATGGTCAGAGATTTGGCAACAGGTCAACGTTGTCCAGAACGTTCTAGAAAATTATCAGATTCAAGAACATGAAGGAACATGAGTAGAAAAAAAAACAAAACTTTGGAAGATTTGATCCAAACTGTGCTCTGGGTGGAACTGAGAGAAGAACCAATGAGCATGAACCCCCCACTCACCCCCCCTCAACTCCCCCCCCACTGTAAAGGACAGACTACAAACACCTTTTTTTCTGATAATTTGTCCGTTTATCGTCCGTCTCCACTGCGATGTTAAACCATCTTAGAAACGTTGCTAACGTTGGTACGACTCCAGACCAGGTGACCAGACCAGGTGACCAGACCAGGTGACGTATCTCCATGGTAGATGAACCGTCAGTCAGATGGGTTCTTCACTGTGCTCCCAGGTTGGTCAGATGTTTCAGTGAAGGTCCAGTGGACCATGTGTCTGGACACTGACCAAGTACCAGAGTACACGACACAAGTACTGTAGTTTATTTCAGCTGGTGAAGTTTCTCCGGTGACAACTGGAGGAACAGGAACAGCGATCACGACATGTGGTGATATTTATACTCCAGCGACGTCGTCGACTGCTGTTCCATCAAACCAGCAGCTGTGGTGGAGGCAACAACTGCCCCAGTTACACCTGTCACTCACTGGAGGCCTCCACATCCTCCTTCTTCTTCTTCTTCTTCTTTATTTCACTGATGAACTATTGTTTTCTAAGGTTGATTTTCCTCTGATGTTTCGACTCTGTCCAGCAGGGGGGGTTACTCATCACATGTTATGAGTCTGGTTTCACTGCTTTGTTGTTAGATTTCTGTTTTGTCCGACACGATTCCCAGACTCCAGACCTGTCTCTGGTTCTTACCACCAATTACAGTCTCATCTGCAAACACGCTGACTTTGAGAAGATTCTAAACCCATCTGCCTGCGTGACTGCACCCATCTATGTCCCAGCCAGTCCAAGTACTCAGTTGTTGTTGTTTTTTTCCCGTCTGCACCTAGCCTTATTGATTTCACCAAATTACAGAAGTGAAGACGATTCTAGGTTTGTGATTCAGTGGCTTCCAATAGTTTATTACTGGCACAAATTGAACTCACAATAAAAATATATATATATATATACATATATGTATATGTATACATATATACATATATGTATATATGTATACATATACATATATGTATAAATATATATACATACATATATATATGTATGGATATATATTTATACATATATGTATATATATATATATATACATATATATTCCGTATATATGTATATATACATATACATATACATATACATATACATATGTATATGTATATATACATATATACGGAATATATATGTATATATATATATACATACAAACACATACGTATATATATATTTACATATATACATACATATACATATGTATATGTATGTATATATATTTATACATATATGTATATGTATACATATATACATATATGTATAAATATATAATGTATACATACATATATATGTATGTATACATTATATATTTATACATATGTGTACATATATATATTTTCTTTTTCTGTAGAACCTTCCGGAGTTTCTCTGTAAATTCTCCTACATTTCCCTTTAAATGACTGCTTTTCTGTTCACGTTTCTCCGTCTCTCCCGGGCCGTGGATGAGTGCGGCAGCTCCACTGGTGTCCGTGAAGGTCACCGTCTCCACGCTGTGTGTCAGCGCCTCCTGGGAGTGTGTATTATCTGGCGGTTGTTCACGTTGGAAGTGACAAAGAATGAAGTTCTTAAACCATGTGATGCTCAGATGTCTCCGAGGAGAACCGCCGGTGTCTGGTTGGCCCACTCGTGGGCTCTGGGTCTGATCTAATCCATTAGGCTGCAGCACTAAGTCAAGTCTGAGGCCGGCCTTGGCGTTGGGCTCAGAGCTGCATTAAGGACGCTCTCTGTGGGTCAGATTTATGAACGCACAACTGGTTTCACCTCCAAACACTTTGTTCCTCACTCTGAAACTGTGAATAATGAGGAACTTCAGCTGCAGCCAGCGCCGAGCCACAGTCGCCCCCTGGACCAGGGACCATGGGCCGCACTGACTCTGGACCAGGGACCATGGGCCGCACCGACCCCGGACCAGGG